ATTACATTACATTGTTACTATATATAAAATTAATTCTGAAAAATGCATCACGGTTTCCACACAAATATGAAGCAGCAATAATAATAAATGTTTCTTGAGCAGCAAATGATATTAGAATTATTTCTGAAGGATCATGTGACACTGAAGACTGGAGTAATGATGCTGAAAATTCAGCTTTGATCACAGATACATTTTAAATTACATTTTAAAATATATTAAATAGAAAATAGTTATTTTTAATTGTTATATTTCTCAATATTGCTGCTTTTACGGGGCTTTTTTTTTCAAATAAGTGCAGCCTTGGTGAGCATGATACTTAAAAAAAAAATTACAAAATCTTACTGACCCCAAACTTTTGTGTAGGCCTACATGTAATATTTATTTGAAATTGGCTAGATGTGCAAGTAAATTTATTTAAACTGGTTGTTAAAAGTTCAAATGGATTGTGTTATGTTCTGTAATTGCTGTTAATAAATCTGTCAGGAAGAAATATGCTAAAGCTTCACCTTTAGGGGTACAACAGCCTGGCAGCCTTTTACAAAAATTAACCATGGTTTTATTACAGTAACCACAGTTTACCACAGTATCTGTAGTAAAACTGCAGTAACCACAAATTTACCATGGTAATAATAATAATAATACATTTTAGTATTTATGTAACACCATGTTTATTTTTCATGAGGTACCCTCAAAGGTGCACCTTTGTAACTTATCTACCCTTAAAGCATGCATACTTGTATGGTACTAATATGCTCTCTTTTAGGGGTATAGTTGCACCTTTGAGGTTACTGCCTCAGTAAACGGCTAAAATACAATAATAGTATATTTTATTTCTGACAGTGTAAACAAAAAAGGCCTATGAAATGTTAAAAAAACACGGCTTCTAATATAATCTAATATTAAGCGAGTATAATTACGGATTATATATTCTTTTAATAATGTAAAAGATCAGTTTAGTTTAGAAGTATCGGTATCGATATCGATGATACTGTGCTCGAAAATATCGGTATCGAATCGAAAATAAAATAAGTGGTATCGTCCATCCCTAATACAGAGTCATGCCTGAAGCTGTGCTGTAATAATGGGTTGATTGAGGAGTTGAGCTTATCTTCTGTTTACAGATCCCACCCTTTCCGCAAGCATCAACTCACTCTCCAGCTGCAGGCAATTCAGGGAGCCCTCTCAAAAAGTTACTTGCATTCACTTACATCATGCACTCAAGGAGACACACACACACACACACACACACAAACCTGTGCACAATTACATGCATGCTAATATGATCATACAGCCAAACAGAAATAAACTAACCGAAAAAATATATACAAAAGGGGTGGTACCTTTTCAAAGGTACACTTTGTACTTTATCCCTAAAGGGTGCAAATTAGTACCTTACAATAGTACCAAAATGGTACATTTTAGTACTTAAAAGGTGCAATTTAGTACTGGGTACTGTCCAAGTGACAGCTTTTGTACCATTTTTTCTGTGTACAAATAAAGACACTTGGAAACACATCTCTGACTAGTGTTTAAATGTGCGCAACATATATGGATACATTTTTGCACAGTATTTCAAAAATGTTTACACACTGTCCTGATTCCTTTCAATTGTTAAAAAGTTGAATCTCCAGCATCTTCAGTAAGGCAAGTGAATGGGGGGGTCAGCTAACCTGTCCTAGAGGACATGAGATCTTGAATTTGACCGTTTACTTCTTTGAAACATTGTCCTACTGTACATATTCCATTAATACAGTACACTTTAGTGTTCCTTGACTTTTTAAGTATTAGAAGCACAAATACCATGTTTTTGTTGTATTTGTGTGAACTATTAGATGTGTTTAATAAACTTATGTAACATAAATTTAACTAATTTCTTACTGAGGACATCTTGCTATGTTTGATCTTTTCCCCATGACGAAAAAATATGTATTTAACATTTCTAAATCTCATTCCATTTAAAAAAAAAAAAAAAAAAAAAAAA